CCGTCCCCTCCACCACCCTTGCTCCCCTTGCCCTTGCTGTTGCGGCGTCTCCCACTAGGGGCAGACGCAGCTCCGACCTCCTCAATGCCAACGAGGTCGACAGCAGCAGCAGAAGCAACAGAGGGGAGAAGGGGGACAGGGGAACACCCCTCAAAGAAAGGGGAGCGCCGGTCACCGCGAGAAGCACCTACAGCTAAGATACTCTTCTCAGCTGCAGCTAGGCGCTCCTCTAGCAGGTCGTCAGTGAGCTCGGTGGGGCAAAGGGAGAGAAAGTGGTCCCTGACTGAAGAAAGGGAGTCAGGGAGGCGGGTGACTAGGTAGTAAAGGGCGATGTACATGGGGGGGGGGGGTTCTTGGCACAGAAATCAGTGGGAAGGGCAGCGCGGTAGCAGGCGTCACTAGTGCGGAGGTGAGAAACTAGGTCAGCGACTGTGGCAAAGGCGGCAAGGTCAGGGAAAAGGTACGGCAGCATGAGGCGGCTGAGGGCATCAGTGGCAGGGGAGGAGTAGCGCGCAACTACAGCGTCGTACAAAGACTGAGCAGTCTTGTATTGACCAAAATGCGCGCGCTCAGCAGGCGGCAGGTGACTACAAACAGCAAGACGAGCAACAGCGTCACGAGTGGTCCACTGCGAGCGAACCGTACTGTCAGCAGTGGCAGCAGGAGCAGTAGAGACACCGGACGTGTGATCGAAAAGTGATACCCCATCTCTAGAGTCACACTGAAGGAAGAGCTGCAGGTCGTCAACCCACACGTCAAAGTCAACTGCACGCCCCTCAGCATCAAAGGTGAGAACAGTAGGGCTAGCCATAGCAGCAGTAGGAGCAGTAGCAGCAGTAGCAGCAGTAGAAGCAATAGCAGTAGTAGCAGCAGTAGCAGTAGGGCAGTGCAGGGCAGTGCGGCTCGGTAGGGCGGCGTGGCTCGGCAGAGCGGCGCGGCTCGGTGGGCAGCGTGGCTCGGCTGGGCGGCGCGGCTCGGCTGGGCGGCGCGGCTCGGCAGCGCGGCGCGGGTGCTTACCAGGGGCTGGTGCAGGGCCGGGCCGTGACAGCAGGGGCCGCGCCAGTAGGGTTGGCGACAGCAGGGGGGGGGGCGCGACTACAGGGGGGGCCGCGCCAGTAGGGGCCGCGCCAGGAGGGGCCGCGCCAGGAGGAGGGGCCGCGCCAGCAGGGGGGCCGCGTCAGCAGGGGCCCGGGTCGTTACAGTAGGGGGCGCGCTAGTAGGGGTGGCGACAATAGGGGGGGGGGGGGCGACTGCAGGGGCCGCGCCAGTAGGGGCCGCGCCAGCAGGGGCTGGGCCGTGACAGCAGGGGGCCGTGCCAGCAGGGGCCACGACGGGCTAGGGCCGCGACGGCAGTAGGGGCCGCGTCGGCAGTAGGGGCCGCGACGGCAGGCGGGGTCGCGACGGCAGTAGGGGCGGCAACAGGTAGTAGGGGCCGCGACGGGCTAGGGGCCGCGACGGGCTAGGGGCCGCGACGGGCTAGGGGCCGCGACAGGCAGTAGGGGCCGCGACGGGCTAGGGGCCGCGACGGGCTAGGGGCCGCGACGGGCAGGGCGCGATGCGCGCTTCGGGCAGGGCAGGAAAAAAAAAATTGTGGTGGGCCCTTTAAAAACGTTCCCACTAGGGAACCTGCTTTGATACCATGTTAGAATGTGAGAGAATGGAATGAATGAACTAGGAAGCAGGAGGGTACAAGTAGGAAACCTAAAAGTGTTGTACCCTATAAGAACTACCCCACTACAGCCTAAACAGACTATAGCATATATAAGTTTGACAGCACGAGCAAGGTCGGACTCAGGGTCAGAAACGTGCGGAAGAGAGGACGCGGGAGGCTCATGCAGGACAACACGCTGTGGAACAGAAGAATGACGAAGTGCCATACCGTGAGTGCCTGGGATAGCAAGAGGACGAGGACGGGCAACACGACGAGCACAAACAGGTGTGGAAGCACGAGTCTCAGGCTCACGACGCTCAGTCAGGGACTCATTCACCTCAGTGTGAGGAGCAGGCGCAGGCAGTAGCTGCGGCTGAGACTGGTCTATCTGTGGACACAAGAGGGGTAGAGGGAGGCCACTGGAAGACGGGAGACTAAGAACCAAGCGAAGGACCAAGTCAGGTGGCGGCAGGGTCGACTGCGGCTGCGGGTAGAAAAACGGTCTGCGAAGGGCAGTACCAGCAGCTCCAGCTCCTCCGGCACCAGCAGCGTCAGAAGTACCTCCAACATCTTCTGTGCCAGTAGCACCTCCAGCACCAGCAGCACCACCTGCTTCGGCAGCCCTAGCACCTCTAGTACGAGCACCTTCAGGACCAGCAGCTCCAGCACCTCCAGTACCTCCAGTACCTCCAGCTCCAGCGCCTCCAGCACCAACAGTACCTCCAGCACCTCCAGCATCAGCGTCTTCAGTAGCACCTCCAACACCTCCAGCACCAGCAGTACCACCTGCTCCGGCAACTCCAGCACCTCAAGCACCTCAAGCACCAGCAGTACCTCCAGTACCTCCACTGCCAGTAGCTCCAATAGCACCTCCAGCACAAACAACACCACTAGCTCCGCCAGCTCCAGCACCTCCCGTACGAGCACCTCCAGGACCAGCAGCTCTAGCACCTCCAGTACCTCCAGCTCCAGCGCCTCCAGCACCAGCAGCACCTCCAGCACCTCCAGCACTAGCTGTACCTCCAGGACTAGTAGGTCCAGTACCTCCAGCAACAGTAGCACCTCTAGGACTAGTAGCTATGGCACCTCAAGCACCAGCAGCACCTCTAGTACCTCCAGCACCAGCAACACCTCCAGCACCTCCAGCAGTACCTCCAGTACCTCCAGCACCATCAGTACCTCTAGGACTAGCAGCTCCAGCACCAGCAAGACCGTACCCTCCACCACCACGATTGCCTCGCCGAACGATCCACGCACGAATCGCCTGCGGTGAGAGCGTCTCAAGTAGGTCAGGCTGCGGTGGCCGTCCAGCTCCAGGACCTCCTGCAGGGTCACCAACAGCTCCACCGCCACTAGGACTCGCAGGATCCCCAGAGTCAGAACCCCCAGTCGCAGCACCCCAAGAACCAGCACCCCCTATTGCAGCAACCTTAGTCGCAGCACCCCCAGAACCCTCACCCTCTGTCTCAGCACCCCCAGGCTCAGCACCAGCAGGCTCGGCTCAAGAGTCCACAACAGCAGGCTGCGGAGGCGGCGAAGACGGCCGAGGCGGAAAACCAGGGGGGGTCTCCAAGTGTGGAGAGCGGCGAGTGGCCGCCGTGTCGTCAGCGGTGGGGTCACCCCCCTCAGCTGGGTCGGAGGGGTCAGAAGAGATCTCCAAAGGCTCAACCAAGGGGGGTGAGTCTACCTGAGACACACCTGAGGGAGCAGGACCCTGTGGGGGGAGGGGGTCTACCGGGGGGGGGACTGGTACCAAGAAAAGAGGCGCTAGGAGGACTGGGTGGGACGTGTGCGGGTGTAGCCTGTAGTAACAGACAGACTCGTCAAAGGTGACGTCCTGGGAGGAGAAGACTCGACGCGAGCGCGGGTGGTAAAACTGCCATGGCGGGGCGTTGGTGGGGAAGCCAAGGAAGACGCAGCGGAGAGTGCAAGAGGAGAGCTTGCTCGCTTTGGCATCGCAAACAAGGGAGAGCGCGCCCCAAACCCGAAACACCGACACATCGCCAACCTTCCCCGTCCACCGGAGGCCTGGGCGAGGTCTCTGGCTCAGAGACACGGGGCCAGAGGTTGAGCTGAGGCGTAGCGTATCAGACCGCAAATGGCCACAGAAAATGGGGAGCAGCCGCATGGATCATGGAGGTACGAGCAACCTCCATGATCAAGCCAATGCGACGCTCAGCAATCCCATTATTGCTGAGGAGAGGCCGGAAGCGTGGACGAGTGGACGATGCCCTCGTCTCGACAAAACTCCGCAAGGAGGTCAGAAGAGATCTCACCGCCCCTGTGAGAGTGCAGACGCAGGACTGGGAAGTTCTGTCTGAACCGCTCACGCAGCTGGCGACGAGTAGCACGGATCCAGGGGATCAAAACACCGCTGACGTCCGCCTTGCACCGCAAGGGGAAGACACTGGTGTAACGTGTGTAGTCGTCAACAACCAGCAGGAAGTAGCGCTCCTGGTCCGTTCCACCAACGGGGGCTGGGCCCCAAACATCCATGTGGAGAATCTGTAGAGGAGCAGTGGTCGGAGGAAACTCGGAGGAGTGAGGAGCGGCGCGCTGCCGCCCCTCAACGCACGGAAGGCACGGCGGGGCAGGCGAGCGCGGGAGGGAGGGCAGGGACCTGGGAAGGCCAGAGACAAGGAGACGGGAGTGCATACCGCGGCGACGCGGTAGGGAGGGGTGACCAAGGCGGTGGTGCCAGAGGAGAGTTTGGTGGGAGAGTACCCGACATGAGCAAGACGCTGCAAGCTGACCAGACGCAGACATTTGACTCGACGTAGCCACCTGACCTGCCTCAGCCACCTGTGCAGATGCAGTGGTCAGTGTGTACAGACTAGACCCAGGCCGTCAAGTGAATGTAGCCAGGTGACGGCCAGTCCGGGAGCACGTACAGATCGCCACACGCTGCCCTCCAGGAATAAAGGTATCAGCCCATACATCCTGAATGGAAGCGTTGCTCACCAAGTTCGTCGAGAACGTGGGGAGGTGGAGACCTGACAAAGAACCGGAGGGGACTGCTGGACACGGGAGGACAGTGGAGGCTCGTGCGACTACTGGGCCCCCAGTGGGGTAAGCTAGTGAGACCAGTACCAGTGCAGCAAGTGGTGTGAGTGTGGTGCAGTCACGAAAGAAGCAACGTGACGCGCCTGAGTCAAGTGTGAAAGTGTGCAAGGCCTCAGCTGAGGAAGGACATGTGGCGGGAGACGCACGAGCACCTAAAGCTGCAGCAGACTCACTAGCACTTAGTGCTGCAGCAGAATCACTAGCACCTAGTGCGATAGCAGACTCACTATCACCTAGTGCAGCAGCCTCGACAGAACCAGTGACACATTGCTGAGGAAACAACTCACTAAGCACCTGAGGGGAGAAGGTCTCCTACTGACTCTGCTGCCGCCTCTATGCAGTGCGTAAAAAACCAAAGCCTCCACAAACTGGATGGGCTCGCTGAAGAACCCACTCGCAAAGCTGCTGAGGGGTGGGGTCGTCCGGGAGAGGTAGTGACCGCCGCTGTCCACCCCTAGCCGCTGCAACTGCCGTGATAGTGGCCATGACAGGCAGTGACGGACAGTAGTAGGTCCAGCACCTACAGCACTAGTAGCACCTCCAGCACTCCCAATCGCACCTCCAGCACCCCCAGCACCAGCAGCACTCCTAGCAGCACCTCCACCAGCAGCAGTAGTAGCACTAGCAGTAGCAGCAGCAGCAGCAGCAATAGTGGCAGCAGGGCGGCTCGGGCTGGGCGGCGCAACTCGGCCGGGCAGGGCGCGCAGCGGGCTGCAGGGCAGGGGGCGCGGTGGACAGGGCATCAAGGCGCGCGCTGTGTAGGGCAGCAGGGCGCGATGTGTGGGGCAGCAGAGCGCGTCGTGCTGGCTGCTGTAGGGCGCGACGCGAGGGGCAGTAGAGCGCAACACGCTGGGGCAGCAGAGCGCGACGCGCTGGCTGCATTAGGGCGCGACGCGCTGGCTGCATTAGGGCGCGACGCGCTGGCTGCAGCAAGGTGCAACGTGCAGGGCAGCAGAGCGCGACGCGCTGGCTGCAGTAGGGCGCGACGCGCTAGCTGCAGCAGGGCGCGACGCGCAGGGCAGCAGGGCGCGACGCGCTGGCTGCAGTAGGGCGCGACGCGCAGGGCAGCAGAGCGTGAGGTGCGGAGCAGCAGAGTGCGGAGCAGCAGAGCGCGGAGCAGTAGAGCGCGACGCGCGGGCTGCAGCAGGGCGCTACGTGCGGGGGGGCAGGTGGTGCGAGGAGCTGCAGGGCAGTGCGACACTGTGCGAGCAGGGCCGGATTGCGCAAGGGCGCTTCGGGCAGGAACGAGCGAGACTATCGTTGGGCCCTAAAAACTTAACAGGTTTGGTGCTCTGAATACCATGTCAGAATAACTGTGCATGAATGATTGGATTAGCAAGAGTTGGGGTACAAGTACTAACCCTAGAAGTGTTGTACCCCATAAGGAGTAAGATTGTACTTTGACATGATTCATTGCACCCGTAACAACTTGCAACAAATGAAATTTATGGACTGTAGATGAACAGATGTACGTGCTGAGCTGTTTGTCGTTTCTCCATCGGCTTCAAAAGGTCGTCAGGACAGCTCGCTGGTGTTCAAACGCTCTGGTCCCGCTTGTCTTCATCGATTTTGTTACGAATAGTAATTATTGAAGCATCACTGTGCACTCCTTACCGCAGCAATCGAAGCACGCATTACCAAGGATGAAGGCGAAAAGGCAGAAGTGACGCGAAGCGTCGTATGGTTACGAAAAGGATCTGGACAGACGGGCAGACAGCATCAGGCAGCAGCAGTGGCGAGGATTCTGCCCAGACAGTTTCGTAGCTGTCTGGAGTCGCGCGGTCGGATTTCACTGTAATAAGGGAATGTACTGTGAGAATAGTAGGCGAGAGTGATGGACTAGGAAAAGGGAAGGGGTACAAGTAGAATGTCGAGAGAAAATTGTACCCCCTAAGGCTGAACCCACTATAGCCTAGACAACTATAAACACATAAACTAAGCCTAGATATAACTAAGAATATATGTTTGACACACCCCCATAGGCGAAGTGGGGGATAGCCAGAACAAGCAATGGTCACAAGACCAGGCAAGAGAAGAAGCAAAGCAAAGCAAGCTTAGGGTGGATCACAAAGTCACCACACAGTCCGAGCACAAGCAAAGGGCCACAAGGCCAGTTCACATGCAGAGTTATATAAAGAGAACAAACAATACAGTGATCATACCCTAACAAGTGCAAGCATGCAGGTATATAGATAGATCACAGTACAGGCAGAGTCAGGCAGTAAGTAAGTGAGGCAACGTAGGCACAAGGCCTAACACAGTAACAAAGCGCTGATGGTCACCAGGCGGAAGTGCCTTGGTGAAGACATCAGCAGTGTTGGCCCGAGTGGCCACGTACGCTAGACGAAGCTGACCACCCTGCTGCAACTCTCGAGCAAGGAAGTATCGCAGAGCGATGTGCTTCGTTCTGTGCTCCAGTCTGTGCTCCTGACACAAGGCTATCATGGCCTTGTTGTCTACGTACGGGACTGGAGGCGAACGAGGCTGCTCTCCCAAGTCGGTCAGCAAGTAGGTGAGCCAGCGTAGCTCCTGAGCAGCCATGGCTCCGGCGTAGATCTCAGCCTCACAGCTGGAGCTGAGAACTGAAGACGAGCGGGTAGACCGCCAAGAAACTGAGCCGGACCCAAGGCTGAAGGTGTAACCCTGCGACGACCGCTGCGTAGCTGAGTCGTCAACCCAGGAGGCGTCTGCGTGACCAGTGAGAACAACAGGACCCCGTCCTCCAAGCACAAGCCCCATGCCCGACGTACTGCACAGGTAACGCAGTACCCTCTTCGCAGCATCCCAGTGCACCTTTCGGTGCCTACCAGGAGCCACGTAGCGAGCCAGAAGGCTGAGAGGGTACGCGAGGTCAGGTCGAGTGCAAGTCATCAGGTACATGAGGCAACCCACAAGCTCTGGGTACGGACCACTCGGCTCTACGGACTCGTCCAAAGGTGGAGCTGAGAGCGAGTGGCTGGTAGACAGAGGAGTGAGCTGTGGCGAGGAGTACTGGAAGCCGAAGCGCTGAAGGACCTGGTGCACCATGTGTGACTGAGTCAGTGTGATGGTGCGCCGTGCTCTGTCCCGGGTGATCTGCAGGCCAAGGTAGCTGCGCAGTTCGACCATGTCAGTGCAGGTATGTCTCTTCTGCAGCTCGGACTTCACTAGGGTCAGTGCCTCAGTGTCAGCCGTGGCAAAGACGAGGTCGTCGACGTACACTAGGACGTAGAAGGGCGGCAGTGAGGTGTCGGTGCGTAGAAACAGCGACGGGTCTGCTGTAGAAGGAACAAACCCAAGAGCCGCAAGTGTAGTCCTAAGTGTGTCGTGCCACTCGCGAGGCGCCTGGCGGAGACCGTAGACTGGCCGGCGGAGGCTCCACTGGGTACCTGTAGGAAACGACCCAGTGAAACCAGGTGGTCGGCGCAGCCAGATCTCCTCGTGCAGGCTGCCCTGCAGGAAAGCAGTACTGAAGTCCATGGAGTGTAACTCGTAGTCACGCTGAGCAGCTACGTGCAGCAACACCCGAAGAGTAGTCATCTTCGGGGTGGGGGAGAAGGTCTGGAAGTAGTCAACTCCCTGTCGCTGACTGAAGCCTCGAGCAACGTAGCGCGCCTTGAAGGCAGGCGGAGAACCCGGCGGCCGCTTCACCCTGAAGATCCACATGCCATCGACTATGTTCACCCCAGGTGGGGGAACCTCGTCAACGTAAGTGCCTGTGGACTTCCAGGATGCCATCTCGGCATCCATTGCTGCCTGCCACTGAGAGGAGTAAGGACCCGTAATCGCCTCTGCGTAAGAGCGCGGGGTCGGGATGTCAGGAGCATCCGGGTCTCCCTCAGGGGCAAGCAGCAAGGAGGCGAAACGAGGTACAGCAGCTGCAAGACACTCAAAGTCCTCCTGCCTGTCCTCAAGGACGTCCGTGCCAAGAGCACACTCACCCCCGACGGACGGAGGACTGGCAGGCACAGACTCAGCAACTAGAGCAGAGGCGTAGTCGAGACGGCAGGCAGCAGCAAAGTCAAGTAGCTCAGCAACGAGAGCAGAAGCAGCAGCAGACTCAAAGGACGGGTCAGTGACAGCAGTGGCAAGGAGACGAGCGACTGTGGGACTGGCAGCACGCGCTCGGTCAGACTCAGGGTCAGGGACCGCAGGAAGAGAGGACTCAGGAGGAGCAGGCAGAGGAACACGCAGTGGAACAGAGGAAGGACGGAGTGCCATGGTGTGTGTGCCTGGGACAGGAGGAGGACGCGAACGAGGAGCACGACGAGCAGTGCGAACAGGCGAGACAGGACGAGACGCAGGCTCACGACGCTCTGTAAGACCTCCGGACTGCTCAGTGTAAGGAGAGGGAACAGGCAGTGGGGAGGCGGCTGTAACGGCGGCTGCGTCTGGTCAGGCGGTGGACACAGGAAGGGAGGAGGAAGACCAGTAGAAGACGGGACACCAAGAACCTTCTGAAGTAGGGGAACGAAGTACGGGCGCGGCCGCACAGTGCCTTCAGCACCTCCAGCTCCAGGGTCAACAGCTCCAGCTCCTGCACCTCCAGCGCCGCCTGCGCCAGGGCCTCCAACTCCAGCTACTCCAGCTCCAGCGCCTCCAGCGCCAGCTGCTCCAGGCTCCGTAGGGTCTTCAACTCCAGTAGTAACAGCAGCACCTCCAGCTCCAGCGCCTCCAGGCTCGCCAGCTCCGGGAGCCCCACTCCGACGGTGTGCGCGCTGAACAAGCCACTCACGCAGCTGCTGCGAGGACAGTCGCGGTGAAGCACCAGCAGGACCTCCAGACAAAGCAGTACCCCGAGGCTCAGCACCCCCAGACTCCGCACCCTCCGACTCAGCACCCTCAGGCTCCGCACCCTCCGACTCAGCACCCCCATGCTCAACACCCTCAGGCTCAGCACCCCCAGACCCAGCACCCTCAGACCCCGCACCCCCCGGCTCCGCACCCCCAGACACAGCACCCCCAGACGCAGCACCTGGAGCAGCACCTGAGACGACAGCTACCTGAACAGGCGCAGTACCAGGGAGAGGGTCTACCTGAGAAACTCCCGATGGAGCAGGACCCTGGGGCGGGAGGGGGTCTACCGGAGGCGGACCGGGAGCAAAGAAGAGCGGCGGGGGCGGGGAAGGGGCAAAGCGGTAGGGGAAGAGACGGTAGAAGGGAACCGACTCGTCGAACGTGACGTCCTGAGAAGGGAGGACACGGCGCGAGGTGGGGTGGTAAAACTGCCAGCCAGGCGCATCAGGGACAAGGCCATGGAAGACGCAGGGAATAGCGCGAGCGGAGAGCTTGTCCGCGGACGTATCGCGAACAAAGGCACGAGAACCCCAGACCCGGAACACCGACGCATCGCCAACCTTCCCTGTCCAACGCAGTGTGGGCGAGGTCTCCGGCAAGGAGACACGGGGCCAAAGGTTGAGCTGATGCACAGCGTACCGGACCGCAAACGGCTACAGAAAATGGGGAGCGGCCGCATGAATCATGGAGGTACGAGCGACCTCCATGACTAAGCCAATGCGGCGCTCAGCAATCCCATTTTGCTGAGGGGAGTCCAGAAGCGTGAACGACTGGGTGATGCCTTCCCCACGACAAAAGTCCCGCAAGAGGTCGGAGGAGAACTCACCACCTCTGTCAGAGTGCAGACGCAGGACAGGAAGGTCCTGGCCGAAACGCTCACGCAGCTGGAGACGGACTGTGCGGATCCAAGGGATCAAGGCAGCAGAGACTTCACCCTTGCTGCGCAAGGGGAAGACTGTGGTGTATC